CCTCGACGGGACGCGCGGTGGCTCAGGCGCCCAGGGCTTTTGGGGCAGCGCTGCTCCCTGCGATTCGCAGCTGCTCAGGTACACCCGTCTGCGGCTCCCAGGCAGAAAGGCCTTGGCACTTGGCGTGCTCGCTAAGGTTTCCTGGGTTTTTAACGCATGGTGACCTTCGCTTAGATATCTTTAGGATTACACCTACCTTAATTAACACATATAAGATGTATATGCTTATTTCTTTGCTTTGTCTTAGCACTCTGGGGAGAGGGAATGAGCCTGCAGCACAGTCCCCCGAGAAGTCTAGACACCTCTCCCTTGAGTTAATGACGTCCCTAATGAGGGAGGAAACCTTTCTTCCTCCTCCAAATCACCTTCCTTCAACCTTAGCTGATACCGGAGTTAAACAGGATCTTCCAAATGTAAAAGCACGCTCTGCTGACTCTCAGTCCTGTCCAAAACGTCTTGTCCTGTTGCATGACGTGAAGGTACCTTTGGATGCCTCGCTCTGGGGCTGGGGCTTTCCCACTTCCACTTCCCCATCCTCGCTGAAAAACTGGCAGAACTGGTTCTCTTAGGCTGAAACTAACCCACCACCCTGTTGTGCTTCCACCTGAATAAGGTCATCATTAAAGTTTAATGACTAGCTTTGCTGCTGGTTTGCTGATCTGCAGATCTGTGACACAGATCTGTCAGCAAATAGCGAGTTACACATATACTGAGGATGTATTGATAGGGTGTCATGTGAACCAGAATTTAGAGCACACATGCATGCAGGCATGTTCCTCAGATTATTGTAGTGACAGAATTAATATATTATTAGAAACAAAGCACTTTGACTTTATCATAAGCAAGTGTTTCAATAGAATCTTTTTGTATCTCAGACTAAATTTATCAAAAATCTGGTTCTTCATCCATCTTATCACACAGTCCCTTGGACAAGTTTTTCAGTCTGGACCGGCTCCTGTTAATAATCACAAGTTGCTCAGAAACAATCTGGCTTTAGTTTGCAGAACACTGTATCATCTGGTCTTGCTTTTCTAGCTGTTTAATGCTTCCCTTAATTATTTTTCAACATTCTTCACAGTTTTCTTGTATATTATAGCAATTGTTTTTTTTCTGTCAGTATGACTAAAAAAATGTAGTTCTTTACTCAAGTTCCAACTGACATCTTATGCCACAGTTTCAAAGAACTGTCCATATTTCTGTAGTGTTTGCTGTGGTAATGCACTAACCACACTCACATGCAGATTGTCAGTATTAGACTAAAGCTTACTTTTGCTTCAAATAAACGGAGCAATTTTTGCCTCTTCTGTTTGTTTCTTTTCACATGACTTGGACAATACTGTAATTGTTCACGTTCAGGAAACTAGCCTGAATGTACAGCTGAACTTTGGAAAATGGCTATGTAAAATGGCATCGTCTTGCTCAGCAAATCTGTGCCCTGTGTATATTTAGGACTAGACATGCTGATTTTTTACTTTGGTGGCACAAACAAATATCTGTTGGCTTGTTTGCTCCCCAGAGTGAACAAATTAAGAGAGAGAGAGAGAGAGAGAGAGAGAGAGCGCGCGCGAGTGAGTGCGAGAGACCACGCACGCAAAAAGCAAGCTGGATTTTGTTCCACCATGTGCGTTGGAAGCAGATTCTCAGTGACACCTTTATAAACTTGCAGAGGTCAATGGAGTTATATAACACGCAACACTGCGAGTATAATTTGACCTGCAAGTCCTTAGTTATAGGTAGTGATGTAAAAGTGGAAAGAATTCAGCTCAGCTGTCAGTCTGAGCTTCCAGGTTTGATGGAGAAAGCCCTCATACCTTTTTCACGTGGAAAAGGAGCATGTCTGGATAAGGGCTAGCGGGTGCTTACGCTGCTTAAGCTGACATGAGCGATGGTGCACGAGCTGGGGCTTTGCAGTATCAATTGGAGGGACTTTTGGGCCAGTGTCCAGTGACGGCTGCAAGTTTGGCATTCACTTGGTCTAGAACGTAAATGTCGCAGCTTCTAGGGCATATCAAATTTTCACTTTCCTCCCCAAGATATTGAGCAGTGGCAGTTGTTTAGGGCGAGGGAGATCTGCTGGTCTTGAATTACATTTTTCAATTCTGTGAAAGGAGTGACGACCTCATTAGTATGCTTCTAACATTTTTATGAATAAAATACATTTCTGTTGACACCAATGTACTGTCAAGCAGGATGCATTTCAGTAGGGAAGGACCTTGTGCCATTTCAATGTTCATGCTCCATCTCTTAATTAAATTTTGAAGTGGTTAAGCAGGCACCTCGGCTGGGGTGGAGGGAAAAGCTTGGGATGAAAGCTGCTGAGTCTATTTTCATCCCAGGTGTATAGTACTAGTGCTATGCTGTTATACCAGATTGCTGCTTATGACATTTTTGCCTCTAGTTTTCAATGCCTACAAATGCATTCGGTCGCTGATGCGTCATCAGTTTGCAGCCTGTGTGACCTTGGCAACCCAAAGCACCTGAGATCTCATTGTCGCTGTTCCCGTCCCGAGCCTCACCGCCACTCTGGCTGCCCCCCTGCAGCCCAGGCTGCATCTGCCAGCCCACCTCGCTGTGCCAGCGTCCACAGAGGATGTCTGCAAGCAGACAGCCTGCGAACAGGAGACAGACCCTAGAGGTTTGGCTGCTGAAAAAGCAGCTCGTTGCTAAGAGCGCAGGCTGCAATTAGTTAGACGGAAACGCACGTGCGACCACCTTATCCAAGCGTTTCCATGTTTCCTTACAAATACGGGGCATGTGTGCTTCTTCTCTTCAAACTTGTGCATTCAGCCCTTTCTGCCTACATCTAACCTAGACTGCGAGTTTTCTAATGGCAAGAGGGCTGTCTGTTTGTTTTTCCAACGCAGTGCAGGCTGTCCATCAGCATTCAGTAAATAATACCATTTAAGTATATCCATGACTGCTTTGATCTTCATACTGCACAGAGATAGCCACTGAGAAGCTGAAGTGGCAATAAAAACAGCACTAGGTCCTCCACTCGTAAAAGCTCTGACGCTATTGCCTGACTGAGAGTCGCCAGCAGTGCAAGCCCTGAGGTGCACGACGAGACAGACTTACTAAATAGCGTTGCAAGATTGACACGTGACTCTCTATAGCATCACACCTTCTCAGTTAAGCAGATTTTGTCTTCAGGAGCTGATGTTTTTCAAGGCTTCTAGTTTCATTTCCTAACGCTACTGGAAAAAATGTACACCGTTTCCTGTTTCAGAGGTTCTGTAAAACATCCCACAGATAACGTTCTGCAAATTTGTTGTTTTTATGGGGGAAAACGTAAAAACAATACTTGAGCACCAACAGCATTTTAAGCAAAGGAAGGCTCCTTCCCCAACCTTAGGTTCAAACACAAGTACCCTGAGACTCGCTACAGGCTTGATTTAGAGCACGCTGACGACTCTTGCTGTGGCAAGCAACGCCTCCTTACCTGTTACACCCGGGAAAGAGAGGTGGTCTCTTATATAACTATTTCTCACGGTACTGCTACATGCTCGAACCGCTTCTGATTTTTTTCCAGCTGTCAGCGCGGACTAAGCGGCTATTACCCAGCGCTAGCAGGGAGGGGAAACCCTCAAGTCACGTAAGGGCTTGTAACAGTTACCCAACGAGACGGCCGCCTTTGCGGAAACGTTACTACTAATAGTTATCCAGACGTGAACGCGACGCCGGGGCACTGCGCAACGCTGTGCCAGGCCTGGGCCTGGCGCTCCTCGGCCGCCCGA